GTCGAGAATAGAACCGGCCTTCCTTCTTCGAAAGGAAAATGGGTCGGCAGCACAGGCTGGCCCGTAGCTTGCAAATGTAGGCCCAACCCGCCCCTGCTTCGGGCCACAGGTTTGGTGGGCCAACACTGCCAATCTTTTTATTTTTATTTGTATTTTTTTTCAACAAAAACTCATTATTTTATCAAGATATGTGAAGAACACAAGTTGCCACAATTTTTTTTATCGAGGGACACAAGTCGCACATCACCAAACAAGAAAAAAAAGATTTAACGGAAGTGATACAAATATAAAAAACCTAAAAGCATCCGAATCACAGAATCAGTGAAGAATCCACGGGGAAGGGCAGAAGGCGAAGGCAAGGGTAGGGGTGAAGGCGGAGGGTGCATGGCGAAGGCGAGCACCCGACCGCCTAGGTCTTGGCCTTCTTCATCGCTGCAACACCAATTTTCCCAGCGATGAGGAAGGCATGCCCTAGGCGGTCAGGTGCTCGCACGACGACAGCGGGAGCGACCAACAGCTATTTGCCTCACGCGCACTTTGACGACCCGTGGGCTCTGTCTCTTATTTATCAAAGACGATCCCAACGACGCCGTGATTGAGGTGTCTTTACCTTCCGGTGCTTTTAGCCGCGGCGCCGCTGCATCATGGACGAGATGGAAATTGACGATGATTTATTTGAAAGTGATGACCCAACACGAAAAAAAAAAATGAACGACAAAACCGACTAGGTCGACTTTTATAAAAAGAAGAGGTCAAGGCTTACGACGATCGTCAAATCTTGTGCAAGACAAGCATCAGAATATTTTTTTAGTATATATTACGTTTATAGTCAACAAATTTTTAGCAAACGTTGCGTTTTTATTTGCACACCGTTTACATAACCAGATTTGTGATACCTGGATTTTTTTATGTTTTTTTAATTAATTTCATACTAACAATCTATATAACATTGATATGTAAAACAATTTATAAGTGCTCCTCAGGATGAATAAAATAAAAAAGAAAGAAAAATAAATAACAAAAATGACCAGGTCAGCAATTATAAGAAAACGAGGTCAATGCTTAACAACGAGTGTCAAAATATTGTGCAAGACGAACATTAGAATAATTTCAGTATATGTTGCCTTTATAGTCAGTGTAATTTTAGTATATATTGCGTTTTATTTACATAACATTTATCCAACAACATTTATCAGACTGAAAAAAGAAAATAAAAAATGAATGACAAAGTCGACCAGATTGGCAATTAGAAGAAAAAGAGTTCAAGACTTAACGACTAGCTTCAAACCTTTGTGCAAGACGTACATTAGAATAATTTCATTATTTGTTGTTTTATAGTCAGTACATGTTGCACTTTTATTTACCTTTCATTTATCCACATCGTCGCCGTCAATTTCTTCCCAAACATCACCACCATCCCTTACTCCATCCTTTTGCCTCCGTCAAACTCGTCGGCTGCAAGAAGGGTGAGAAAACTGTCGGTCTGGACAAGATCAAGTCCTACTCCACCAGATGGCTACCAAACTTTCCGACGACCTCTTCAACAACAGCCTGGAGTCTGCTATCAGCTCCTACAATTGTAGTTTGTTGTCTGCCCTCCCTCTCTCTATCACACACACACACACAAATATATATATATATAGAGAGAGAGAGAGAGTGAGAGAGAGAGAGAGAGAGAGAGAGAGAGAGAGAGAGCATTGTTTATGAATTTTTTATATTAGGTAAATCAATTAAGGATGAGGGGGAGCTCGTTCAATTACGGAAATTAAGAAATAAACATGTTTTTGTTATGAATTATTTGTTATAAAATAATATATATGAATGACTATTTTGTCCCTGATGTAATT